AGCTTCGCTCATCACTGTTTGGGAGCTTGTGAGAGACCTCACAGAACTTTGTCTGAAAGACTAACACCGTTTCTTTTAAAAGGAAAACCATGGGAGGACGTATTACCGGGAATAGTATTTTCGATGAACAATACTCCTAACCAAAGTGTTGGATTTTCGCCTTTTGAAATAGCCAGTGTATGGAAAAAGACCGCAATTTCCGTTGTCATTGCATATTAAGGACACCGACTTTTCGTCTGTACCTAAAGATTGTCATACGTATCTCAAACAGCAATGTGAAAAGATAAACATTATACGTACTGAAGTCGAGAAAAATTCTTTAAATTCGAAAGTTAAAATGATTGACCGAACTAATAAGGACAAAATACCAAATATTTCATTTCTTGAAAACGATTATGTTTATTTGTTGAAAGAGCCAACCGGATCAGGACAAAAAATTAAGAATAAATTTGCCGGTCCATATGTGATCTCAACAGTAAATAGTCCTCATATGTATTCTTTGAAGGACCCAAACACGAACAAAATAATATCACAGCCAGTGTATATCAATAGACTGAAATCTGCTTATGTAAGAAAACCAAATCCGTCAAAATATTTTGTTCTTACGAAACTCGACGACGTTGAAGTGCAAGATCATATATCTTTTGACGAGAATAGTACGCATGTGAAGGACAACTCAAACACCAATTATGACAATTTACCGGATAATATTTCCGACTCTGATAATACACGCAAATCAGACAATTTTTTATTTGTTGAAAATAGTAAAGCCATGTCTCGCCCAAAGCGCACTAAGAAATTACCAGCTAGGTTCAAAGATCAAGATTGTATTAATTTTAGTGAAGTTGACGTGTCTAGCGAATCAACGTCTCCAAGTCAATTAAAAGTTAAAAGATTTCTAGCACAGAAAATTTTAAACGGAAATAGATCGTATCTTGCTCATATAGTTGGTGAACCAGCCCAACACGCTATGTGGCTTCACGAAAATCAGCTTGGACCGAAAGCAAAGGCCAAATTGAAATCTTGACCTCCGCCACAAATTTAAACATTTTATTTTCTTTATTCAGTGGATTGTTTTATGTCAACATATAATCATGGTAATAATGTCAAAACATCTAATTAGCGTCCACGATTTATATACTCGTTAGATTTATCTCATGAGTACATACGCAATACGACTGTATGTATATATTGACAAGTCACTATTTGTCAGTGAGAGTTTTCTCATGACTACTTAATAAAGTAGCTATGTATAACGTAAAATTTCTCTTGATTTGGAATATCGACTCATAAATAAGGAATTCATCAGGATCTGTACGATTTTATTTCATGATATTGTTAGTGCCGTCTGTATCTTAATATTCTTTGGTAGACTTATTTGTGAGATTTATCTCATAGTAAGATTTCCGGCAAACTGCAACTTCTGCTAAAGATGTTCGTAAATGAAGACCACAGAAGAAAAAGAAAAAGACATGTACGGACATTAATTGTGTGTTGCTTTAGTATATTTTGTATAATTGTGCATTGATGTTTTTATTAAATCATTCCGGCATCACATACATTTTGATTACTTAAATATGATTATTGAATTTCGTATTTTGTACGTATTGATTATTGATAACATGAATAATTTTGTTTGGTTATAAACATGTTTTTTTTTGGTAATGAAACTTTTATTAGAGTTTAAAGGCAGTTAGCCTAAATTGTTTTTGAAAGGCAAATTTATTGAATATATAATAGGTAGTAAGATAATTTACGTGGTTATATAAACCTTTTGTTTCTTATCCATTTTGAATTAAGGATTTATGTATATCGTATTTGAATGTAATTTGTTATAACAATGTACGGTCGAAAGTTGCAAGGATTAGTTAAAACTTTATAGAGAAAACTACACTTTATTTTGAGAACTGAACATTGTTTTTCTATAGTGTTGATTGTTGATGAAATAAGTTTAATACCCCGAAACATGGAAATCGGAATAATAAAATTTAAGGCATAGATACCCAAAATGAGATTGTATGAATATCTGTCAGTGACTATTATATGTTAAACACAAATAACCTAAGTAGTATTGCTGTGAGTGGTTAATGAGAAATTCTGAGTGCGTGAGAGTATTATGAGCTGGTCTTGTATTGTATATGTGTATGTGTGTAAGACTGTTTGACTGTGTGTATATTTCACCACTTTCAGCGTTTAGCTACAAAATAAGAGTAAGGTCTCTGGTGATTTCATAGTATTTTATATTATATTAACTGTCACGTTTATGACAAGCAAGATATTTTCAATACATGTTGTACTCCGCAATGTGTTACAAGATGCTTATTCCACAAAGTTATCCATACCAGTTACTTTTCGTTTAGATATATTGAAATATAGAGAATCTTGAATATTGTGAAAGTTAAAAAGGTATAATAATATTGATCATGACATTGTATTTTTATTTGAATGTGCTCTGAATTCCACATATGCAAACATTCATTGGGAATTTTCTTTCTGCCGGGGGATGTTATATATTTAGATATATATATGTATAATTATATATGTGTCATTCAGTTGTATATGTTTATACAGAATTGTACAAGTGATGTCCGGAAACGCCTTTTTATTTACGCTCTCTCTGTTATTAAATGTCGTTAACGTAAGACGTGTTTTTGTTCATGAGCTAGTCCCAACCCAATACTAGAGTTAAAAGACGAGGCCCATATCGTCACAGAGGCATTTTGGTTAAGATTTGAAAAATTACCTTAGAATTCAAAATATCAAATTATAAGGGGCCTCGGTGGCCGAGTGGTCTAAGTAGTCAAACTACTGTATCACTTGCTTGTCAACACTGAGGTTGTGAGTTCGAATCCGGCACGTGGCAGGTGCGTTCGACTCCAATCTTCATTGACTATAGGATTGTCAATTTTCCTACCGAAGCTCGGTGGTTCTCTCCGGGCATACCTGTTTCCTCCACCAATAAAAACTGACCGCCAAGAAATAGCACAATAGTGCTGAAAGTGACGTTAAACACCAATCAATCAATCATAAATTAATCAAATTATAAATGGTACGGATTTTGTTATTCTGACATCCACCTTCTTTCACAAGGTGATACAAGTTGGTCTTTAATAATTAACTAGCTTAATGATTTACTTCAAAATTAATACTTTATCCTAATATTAAGCTCTGTCCTCTTTGGCAGAAAGCAGCATATGTGGCTAACAAATAGGGTTAGATTTTATTTATATATTTTTTTGCTTTATTATATCGATTGCATATTTCTATACTTGTTTGTTAGTGTTTAGCAAAAAAAGATCTTTATATCTGGAAACTGAAAATACTCCAATAATGAATTTGCCAATGGTATATTGTTTTGGTTTTTTTTTAAGTTTCAGCTTTTATTAGATTTAAAACTCACATTTTCTTATAACTAGCGGATAAAATATTTTGAAAAACTTCATTTATCAGTAAAATATAATTTGAGTCACCTTGAAACTATTTTAGATTGTCAGTTAATGAAATTGGTATTAATTTTTGCCCTGAACGATATTAACTTTCACAATATATGCACAGCTAAAGTGATCTGAAATTTCCAAAAGTTCCGAGAAAGCTATCACGAAAACAAATAGGACACATCAAAAATTGATAGCCTGGACCTTTGTAGAACAATTGTTAGTATTTATAATTGCATCTGGACCATATACCGCAATCATTAACCAGATATAAGATTTATATGCGGAAAGGTTTCAGTTTTCTGACGTATGGTACGGGTTTTAGTGTTTTATGAATGAAATGGGATGTTAAGTGTACGTAAATGAAACAGCATACCAACGACATAGAAAAAAACCTAAAGGTCAACATACAAGAACAGACGATATGTCAAGCAATAAATCGTCCTAAGTCTTAAAAAAGCTGTATATACTATACATTCATCAGAAAGATCTGCCATCTAAACCATTTTTTTATAAAAAAAAAAAACTTTAAGAAATGACAATCTGCATTGTGCTAACTAACTTCAAGTCCAGAAGAAAATGTTTAGATCTATTAATTTCTGTCTTCAAATTTTATTTGTTCATATAAATTGCAATGTATCTCAGACAGATCAACAGGAAATGCATCGTCTTATAAAAAAATATTGCTATTGATTTTTCTATCAGATGCATTTTTTTTTCTTAAAAATTCTGACATTCTAAGAAAATATAACACAGACTGTACAATTGTTTGAAAAACCGAAATCATCCAATATCAAAGAGTGACTTCATCACTGATTAATTAGAATAATGAACGATCCTTATGTTATCTTTCGTGTATTAATGAAACATGATAACTTACAGTAATATTTTCAATTATTTTAGCACACATTTGAAAAAATTAGTCGGACTTTCTGGTGTCTAAAAAAATCCATCTTAATTTTAACAACTTTCATCATAAAACAAAAATTGCTATGGAATTAAGGGAGTTTGCAATAACTTAACATGATAATGTGAATGTTGAATTACTAAAACAGTCAGCACTCATATCCATGTTGCTGTCCAAGCAGTTAAACTTAACTTTCTTAACCTTGTAACTGTCAAAGCTGCTAATAAGATGAACATCATTGTAACATTATTAGGGTAAAACAAACGAACACATTTCGCTATCTAACAGAACTGACATCAAAAGCGATTAACTATAACTGCGTTTCAGCTGAGGAATATGGTATACACACTACATGTATATATAATACACGGATGTTAATTTATTGAGTTGAGAGACAAACACATCGTATCGGTCAACCAATTTGTGAAGGAGACCCTACAACTTATGTAGCGTCGAATTCGGTCGATTTAATCATGGGTTAATGCATTAACTGTAAATTCAGCAATTAATTTGGAAACGAGGAACTATTATATAATATATAAAGCGATAAAAATAAAATACATATAAAAAAATCTTTTTTTGAATGCTGGGAAGAATAGATAAATAGATTTATTAACTTTATGATTGAATAAAGTGAGTAAATACAATAAATAGTATACCTTTACACCAGCTTGTATAGTTGAAGAAAAGAAATATAAGTCTTGTTGAATATTAACAAAGAATCTCAAACCGGACGTTTCCCCAACAGACTCTGCAACCGTCTTTGCATCTTTATTGAATGTATAACACACACCAAGTTCTGTCATTATTGGAGTAAAGATATCTTTACAGTCAATAAGCTCTTGTTTGAAATGACAATATCTTATCATGTCTTCAATTTGATGAGAATGATTTCGTGCACAGCTATACAATACATCCCCTGGGATCGGGTTTTGTGTCGACCTTATCCCAAAATGTTCTAAAATAATTGACAATTCACTGAGAGCGTAGAATGTCTTTGAAGCTTCCAACTTATCCTCTTCTGTAAAACAATCTAACACTGAACTTTTTACTTGGTTTAAGTTACACACAGTTACTGCGGGGAAGTCAATGGTTTCTTGAATAGATGTGGTAAAACTTGTAATGGAAGGATTGTGTGAAAGGTGGATAAATTCTAATATTACAAATATAAAAAGTCCAGAGGCTGCCGCCAAGACCAAAATAATCCATATGAGCCTGAAAAAAGAGTTAAGATGACTTGTATCAGTTATTTTAACAAAAATAGTTGCTCTCAAAAATGATTATACTATGCACACGTAAGATGGTAGAGCCTATTTTTTTCAATGTCATTTTCAAAATTTTGTTTCTGTTAGCAAATTTAAACATTCGGCTTTATCATCCAAAACAATTTTGTCTCTTTCCAGTCAACTTGTTAGCTCAATTAGAAATTATGTTTATTGAATATTTTAGCAAAAAGAAAATGACATGATTTTTTTATAACTGTTATGGTCCGGGGACACAGTTGTCTACAAATAGAGTCCCTAATGTGGACAGTGTATAACTTGCAAATTTTTTTTCATAAACCTTCCAAATTTATTTCTTCATATTTTATGCAAAAAAATAGTAAGTAGGGAGATGAAATTACATGTAAAAAAATTTGGGGCATGAATTTTTAGGTAAAGTAGTGATTTTGTCCATATTTAGAGTTAGAGCCGATAGACTTTTCTATGATTTTGATATGATTTGTCCCAAAAGTAGTACACTACACTGTAACAATCTTTTTAGGATAGAGCAGGTGCGGTTTTTTGAATTTGCGTTTTTTGTCTAAAAGAAATGCACTACGAAATAACTGTGTTCTTGGGCCTTATGAAGTAACGAAAAAAAAAATGATTGAAATGCTCGTCATTTAAAAAAACAACAGCAACAAAACACGTAAATAGCATATACAAAAGAAATGAAAATATGTATTTGCAACTTTCAAACGATTATTTTTCCCTTGAATTTATCTTTTAACGCTATGAATACAAAAAGCATACTTGCGTCTAGAGTATAATTCTGGTCCTCCAAATCTTGACAGTCCATGGATTGAAGAAGTATTCTTGAATTCCTCTACAATGTTAGTATTAAAGACCATTTCTGATGTATACTTTATCATGCTTGTTCATCATGTTAATAGCAGTAATTGTTCCAGGCAAATAATACCTGTAATCAGTCTCGCATCTGAAATGCTTGAAGAATTCTGATATTCGAAGCAGGACCCAGAAGGTAAAATAGCAATCAGCAATAACTATTTATCAGCAAGTTGCCGGTTAATGACTTTCATTTAGTCGATTTTACAAATTAATTATTTAATCAATTTAAGTTAAGAGCCCGTAGTTCCTGGTTTTGAAATAAATTACTTACAGATAATATAATTGTTATATTCAAAATAAATAGACTATTCTGGTTTACAAAACAAAACATTGCAGACAATAATTGCGAAACATGTGCTTTTCTTATTTTTAATTCCCATTTTTTTTTATCATTAAAGGGTTACGTATAGATATTTAGAAAAATGAACAGTGACCTGTAATTGCTTTTATCTTCGCCATTTGAACTGGTGGATAAATGTCTCATAGTCAATCATACCACATCTCCTTATCTTAATTTTTTTTTATTAGTAAAACATTTATTCTTCCCAAAACCTAAATTATAAATAAGTTTTAGCTGTGTATATCCTATATACACTGTGTCCAAATCAACCCGGTAAAAAGTTTCGATTCTGATCCGTTGTAAACAACGTTTAAAAAACCCGGGTCCTTCCTTTTTGACATTTTGATATATAAATATGGTGAGAAAACCCTTGCATTTAGCTAGAAGAAAACATACTCACAGAGCATTTCATAAAAAAATACTAAGGGTTTGAAAAAGGTGTGATTGGAAATCCATGTACACAACAAATGATTTAGAAACAAGCTTCTACGTATCCACCATTCTAGACGCAAAGGTTAGAAAAAACAATATATTAAATAACTAACAACACAAAAACTCAAGTATAAAACCGTCAAAACCGACTAACGTCAACTTTATCCGAGGGAGTTCCAACCATATATACAGCAAAACTGTATAATCAATGAACTGGCAATTTAAAGACAATCTAATATTCCGATCATGCTGAAACGTAATCCACCAGGTTACAGTTAAGTCTTGTGGTTGGATTTCCGTGTCAAGAACACGTGTTTCTTGCATAAACGTCATTGATATTCCTTGGCTTTGATTGTTCCTGACGAAGATAAATTCAGAAAAGTGCTTTGGACGCCTGAAATTTATAAAGTGTTATTTTCATGTTTTTGGGACCAAAAGTTTCTATTATAGCAGTATTACTCCATAATTAGTAAAATTTTCAGGTAATATCTATCGCTTCTCAAGTTCATATTGAATTTTGGGAGTTCTCGGGAATCGTGGTACCGAAAGTTTTGAACACAATAACACATAATGGAAAGCATAAAAAGAACAGCCAAAACTGTCCAATATAAAAATAAGGAGATATTATGGTATGATTGCCAATGAGACAACTATCCACCAAAGTTCAAATGACGTGGATATAAGCAATTATAAGCAACAGTACGGCCTTCAGCAATTAGAAAACCCCATACCGTATAATCGGCTATAAAAGGGCCCGATATGAAAAATATGAAACTATTCAATGGGGAAAACTAACAGCCTCATCTATAACAAAACAATTTACGAAAAACAGACACGACAGACATGAACCAACGACAACCTTTGAACAACATGCTCCTGACTTGGGACAGGCACATAAAGAATATGGCTGGGTTAAACATGTTTTTGGCGCTCAACCCTCCCCTAACCTGGGACAGTGGTGTTACAGCACAGCATAAGAACAAACTTTAATACTAAATTTTATCATCGGTACAAGGACATCATTCGTAAATAGACATCTTATACGTTCAGGTACTTCACATCCAATCTTTTATTGTAATATTCTATACAAAGCACAACAATGTCGGCATTTACCTCAAAAGCTAACCAAACCTTTAAACAGACTTATTCAGAAGGGATATAGTTGCGATACTGTTGTCACGTCACTGAAGATGGCATATTTTGGTATTAATATTGATTCACTCATAGGGTCTTTGCATCGGAAATAAAAACATTTATTCTAAAACCAGTTGTTAGCATGATACGGTAATTTTCTTCTCATATACTTTATGATGGTATGAACTAACGGGAGGGATTGTGCTTGATTGTCATAAGATAAAGACATAATCTTTCAATCAGTTTAATTGAGGTCTGGAGCAGGAATGTCAGTAACTGCTAGTAGTCCTTTGTGAATTTATGTATCATTGTCATTTTGCTTAGTTTCTTTTATTACCTATTCTGATATCGGACTCGGACTTCTTTTAAACTGAGTTTTACAGTGCGTATTGCTGTGTGTTTGTTTATTGTACATTGACTAGAGGTATAGGGGGAGGGTTGAGATCTCACAAAACATGTTTAACCCCGCCGCATTTTTGCGCCTGTCCCAAGTCAGGGACCTCTGGCCTTTGTTAGTCTTGTATGTTTTTTAATTTTAGTTCGTTTATATGTTTTGGAGTTTAGTGTGACGACCATTTTCACTGAACTAGTACACATTATTGTTTAGGGGTCAGCTGAAGACCGCCTCCGGGTGCGGGATTTTCTCGCTGTGTTGAAGACACATTGGTGGCCTTCGGCTGTTTTCTGCTCTTTGGTCGGGTTGTTGTCTCTTTTGATTGGACAATATGCAAAAATGGTCAAGGTTTCATATTTCTTGCAACATTTATGAAAATTTTTGGGCTAACTATTATAGCACCAGGATACTTGTAAACGCTTCTCCTCAAACGTTTGACACGAAAGGTTTCATACTTTGTATGACTGGTTTTAATTGTTTCGACCAGTATTGCCTACTACAGCATTCTAATACCACGTGAACATGAGAGACAATATCCCTGCAGCTTTCATCTCTAGAAACACTGGATATTATTATGAACCGTTGACCTAACTATACATGTTTTCTTTTATTTTTCACAGGGGAAGAGCCACGAAGGCCTTAACTTGGACCTATGATATCATTTGTAAAAACATACATTTTCAATCTTAAATATGCATTTTTAGATAATCAAGAGCATGTTTCTGTCTGCTGTTCGTTATGAGCATTTTGAAAGCTTTCTAATGCACGATATATATGTTACAGAATTTTAGCCAGGTTGCCCTTTTTTATTCTGTTGTAAGGTCTACTTTCTTCTGAAAAACATTGGCCACACACTTCGACCAGAATAGATTTGTCATATAAAGATGAATATGGATCAGATACATATGGGATAACAAAAAACTATGGTGGTCCAGTCGTTTGAAGCAAAAACTATTCAAATTGAGCCAAAAGGTCAGTAAAAATAATGATTTTTATCGTGAGAGTACACAATTATGACGTCATAATGTTATCATAACTTCATAAGTATTCTAATGCATCAGATTTGGTTGATTATGTATTTGTCAGATATATTTACAAATTTTGTCATAAAGCGTCTACTATTATTGTTGAAGTTAAATTTTGCGTAATTACAGGTCCAATATTGACCCTTCGTGAACCGACTCCTTTGCAGGACTATGGTTATATTAAAAAATGTTTGCATTATGAAAACGAGACCTTTCATTTTGTGTTTCTATAATGTTGATATTTAATGATGTTTTACACACAACTCGATTTTCGGAGTTAATGGAAACATTCAGGAGGAAAAGGACCAATTACCCAGATTTGGAGGATGATGTAATATGTGTAGCGATTGTTCAGAAATCTGCGATCAGAGGATCCTAACATTTCTACTACAATCTGTTTCGTATTTTCATTTTGTTTCCCTTAAAATTTGTATAAACACTTTTTTAAAATTTCACCCAAGCGACGGAAATATTGCTACACTAGCTAGCCAGTTCATTCTTTAATTCAAATAGAGAGAAAAATATATTCATTAGACAAATGTTAAAGCCTTGTACGTGATTTAAGTTTATTGAAATAATATTCTGCGAAAACAACATTTATAAGACAGCATATATAAGATGGTTTGAAGTTGTAAAATAAGTTAGATGATACAATTGTACCAAATCTCCTATCATAAATCTTTGTTGTCAAACATAAGGAATGTCAGTTTCAGAAAAAAAACATTTTACAAAGGGTAGTATGTCACCTGCTTAAAAAAATATGTGTGTTTACGTTTGACATTTTGTCAAACAAAGTGAGATAAATTCTTTCAATAAGCGAGGGTGTGGATGAGGGTTTACAGAATAGAGAATGATTGGGCAAAAAATATAAAGAATAGAGAAAAATGGACCAAAAAATAAAGAATGGAGAATAATGAGGTGCTGCAATATAAAGAATAAAGCATAATGAGCAAAAAGTATAAAGAATAGAGAAAAATGGCATAAAAAATTAAAGAATGCAGAAATGAAGGACCGTCCATCCAGACACTAATAAGTCTTTTTCAGACTGAGGAATAATTATGCAAGGGATGATATTATGGTTTTATATCATTTGATTGATGTATTAATTAAGTCGATCATTGCAAATAGCTATATTCCAATAAACTCTGACTAAATAAATAATTTTTGAGTCATTTGTAACAAACTAAACTACAAAAACCAACAATCAACGCTAGCATTTGATATCCAACGGGATCGTGATATGTGTATACAATGTTGATTGGAGTTGCCATTGTGGACATTTGTTATTTCATGATGCTTCTTCTACAATAATGTCAATAGAATATTTTCGGATTTGATTAAATGAATGTATAAATCATGTGCAGCATGTAGAGTTTTAAATGCATGCCATGTACAGCGTAAAATTCAAAGTGATAAAGTTATTCACGACGTGATATTTTGCATAGATACGATACATTGTACAACGTATGGAAATGCAATTGCTGATATATAATTCAGTGTAAACAAATGAAATTATCCGATTATTATCTAAATAAGGAGATGTGGTATGAAACAACTATGGCATGTTTACGGGCTCTTTAAATTGTACCATCAGGGGTATAAAAATTATACAAAAACTATGTACACAAGTTCTTTTAATAAACTGAAACCAAATGACAGCAGATTAGACAAACTACAAATTCTTACTATAAAAGCTTATATGTAGTCTTTTGTCATACTATATGAAAGCCTGTCAAATCGAAATGTAGACAAACATGAAAGTGGAAATCGTCAGAATTACGCGAACTCATAATATAATGATACAAGATCGTCGAAATGGTAAGCATTTCCTGCTAAACATACATCATCTATCTCTGATTCGAAAGTCATATACAGGTGGAAATATCGCTGTGAAAAACGTGACCTATCCGGTAATAACAAATAGACAAAGCTGAATTTTGATCGGAGAAACATGGCTATTGTAGATCGAAAACCCAAGGCATTGTAACGGTTTAACCTAAATTTATTGATGGCCAACTTGTGAATGGATGATGGCAATCGCTCTTCCTAATAACTTTGATATTCTAGTTCATGAGTAACACCATTGTTTGATATCCGTGTCCATCTGACTACAGATATGCTCCACCTATCGTAACCACAATCCCGCCCTCTTTTCCACAGGTCCCATACTAGCTGAGCAGGAACTGCTTGACCTGTTGGATCCCTAGTGAAAAAAGGAAAGAAAACACCATAGAAACAATCACAAAGACAGTTGCATTGTGATTTTGTCAAACAGAAGTTCATCCATCATCATCAAAACAAAATATTCCCGTCAACCAACAATTAAATTTCTCAGGAAAATTGCATGAATAAATTGTGTAACCTTTGCGTTAAATATAGGTAATGCTGGTATAAATAGATATAAATGTAACGAACTGTTACAAACGATTTCCCGCAATCTTTTACATAATTGATAACTCGGTGACTACAGTATGCTATCTGTAAAAAAACAAGTGTAATTTTTTCGGTTCAAGGTTGTGCACAGTAGTAATGCAGCAAATAGCCAAGTTATATTTTAGCAGGACAGTTAAAACTTGCACATGCCCGAAGCATTTAAAAAATGACATTTATTTTAAGGATATGATTTGAAAAAAAAATAGTACAAAAGTGTATATTAAGACTTTATTACAAAATGTACCTGTACTGTTTATGACGTAGCATTAAATGATCTCCACATCGAAGATCAACCATTGATATAAGATTAGATAAATGCATTATTTAATATCAGAAGGATTAATTACTTTATTACGATTTCAGTAGCTACATGTACAGTCAAGCATTCTTTGTTTATATTTGTATTTTTGTTTTTGTTATATTTCATATATGCCAAAGAGAGGCGAAAAATACGGATATGATACGATTTCACATCATGCGTGAACAGCATTTTTATAACATCAGATTCAAACATTTCATGTCAGACGAAATTTTGCTATACGGTTCAACGGAACTCAGCTATGAACAAAACATCGAAATATTCTTGGCAGTTCAAACATTCGTACTCAGTAGCAAAAGATTTGTAATATGATTATAAACATCTTGTTCAACAGGTCTACAGTGCATATATTTATATATAAAATACTTGTGACCGTTCAGAAACATGCTCTTTACTGTTATATTTCTGATGTATCTGATTTTTTCTTCTTTTTGTGTTCTCAACATTATTATATGTTTTGTTTGTTTTCCATCTAGTGTAACATTATTTAACTTTCTTGAGTATTACACATATGAAATGTTCTTATTTGTTTTAGGAAACGGATAAGTTAACAGCTTGTTTCTGGATCCTATTAATCAGTTGTATTTTAAAATATGTTAATGCCAAATTGTGTATATTATTCAACTTCAATTTAAATGATAAAATATGTTTACACTAACCATTTATGGAATGTGCCAACATTTTAATGATTCACAATTGAGGGCAATGAAGATGTCAAATTGTACAGCAACCTTTGTTTTGTAGAAGACCGTATGCTGACTTACATACGTCTTGGATTAGTGTTATTGGGCTGCTGTCTCATTGACGTATACACATGCATCGTTTGGTGAATATTAGAAAATCACCGGTCCAACGATTTACAGAAAAGAACAGAAAAGAACCGAAAAGGACCAAAAAGAACAGAAAAGGAACCGAAAAGAGCATACATATATTTATTTCATATTTATATACACACGAAATTTTGATATTGTTAATAATTCCTCGTAATAAATGAACGCATAACTGTAACTGAGATTGTACATTTTAAAGGGATATGTGGACACCAAAAAAAAAAAAAAAAAAAGACAGTATTATAACTTGGTTTTCAGTAAAGATTTTTTTTTATATATGTACAAGTAATCATTTGCACACTGTACACCATAAAAAAAAATGTGCCTTTTGATGAACACATCAAAGACTTTTATTCGCATAGTATCGAAATACAATAAGCATTTTAATAAAATAATGTTGTTGTTTTTAAATAAAACTAGCAATTAGTCTTTGAATTTAAAAAAAAATGAAGGAATAAACAACCTGTGACCAAGAGAATGTATTATTCATGTAAGTCCCAGATGCGACTAATTGTCATTAAATAAATAAACTGTAAACTTGATTTTTGACTATTAAATAAACTGTCAACTTGATTTTTGACTATTGAAAAGTATATAGATTTGAAGAAAATGTTTGCGGAAATAGATCAGCCATATACGACCAACAAATATGTTAAGATAACTTAATTGGAAATCAACTCCTTAATATTAATTGTCCTTAAATATTGATTTTTCTCCCTTTCTGCGTTTTTCGTTTTATTTTAAAACTATAAAAGTGTGGACACAGATCAGTGTGGATAGTATATTTGGATGTTTGACAGTGTTTTCGGACAAAAATAGTTCTCTGTTTTTCCCATAGGGTTCTATGTTAAACCATGGAAGTATAATATTGACATATAATACTTCCATGGTTAAACTGTGTTGTACAGTGATAGCCAACCTGTACCAAACACTAAAAATTAGCAGTGTCGTTTATTTAATTAATATTTAGTTTTAATGTTCAAGACTCTCATGGAGGAGACACTAATTGCATGGATTACCAACGATTCTAATAAAATATGTTCCACAACTTTTATTTTGGATATTGCAGCAAAACTCATAATTAGGAGAGGAACACATCAGGTCATTTCTGCATGATGTGATTTTAATATACGAGATGGTATCTGACAACCTGAATGCATGTACTATGTGAATGGTTCTATTTATGTTCCTTTGTGGTGGTCATTTCTTACTTGGGTTTGACCACAAAAACTGTAAATTAGTTATGGATCTTCCCAGTATCATTAGTAAAAGATTTCGTTTAAATGTCGAAATTGTTTCTTAGAAGATATCTAATGGTTTTTTGATATCCAATGGTTTTAAGTAATGACAATACTTGGCATGACACTTAAGGCTAGATGAGCTAGAAAGTACACTTCTGTGTTATTTTAGTTCTTTCTTCGAAAATGTCTTCTCCAAGGCCTGGTCGAAGTTGAAAAATTAAAATTGGACCAGTATGATAAATTATCATTTATATTTTTTATTGAGGATTTTAATCTTATTATTAAAATATTTGTTCATATGCATATTATATTTTTTAATAGCAATAACTTGTGTATGGGGATTATTAACAAATAAAAAAACCTGTGCGCAATTTAATGTAATTATATGTATATATATGTAAATAGTTCGTCTATATATTTATAAGTTAAATGAGAAAGGGTGCCAGAGAGATAGTAAGACGCATGAAGTAGAAAAAGAAATTAAACAAGAGATCTAAGGAGAATGAAAAAAGTGAGGAAATGCACATGGAGATAGAAAATTTATTAAGTCTATACAGATTGGAGAGGCAAAAAATCTACCAGATTGGGAAAGGGAAGAGAAAGCGGATGAAAGATGCAGTCGATATTGTTAAATACTTAAATAGATATAACATATAAATTAAAGTATGAGCTTTTTCAAAATTCATTTAAATAGCCCTATTTGTAGTATATAAAATAGGCATCCGACCCTTCCTGTAATAATAAGAGGGTAATTTTTCAATTGTAAGTTTGTCCTGTCGCAATATAAGGTTTCAAAACCTAATAAGAAAGTTTTTTTGGAAACTATCTTTTCATTTATAGACTTTAATGATTTTGCAATTTGCTAGTCTCCTTCGATTGCAAAAAAAAAAAAAATAGATTTCCTTTTCGGTTCTTTTCTATTCTTTTTGGTCATTTCGGTCCAGTACCTGTTCTTTTCTGTAAATCGTCGCTCTTTTCTGTAAGTCGTCGGACCCGAAAATCACCAGTATCATCTGTTTTAGGTTTTGTTTATAAATAATGCAAGAAATGATAAATCCTTTCTACCAAAACCCTTTGGAATAACTTTATAATATAACTTGGCACGACACATAATGTCCATGCAACCAACTTATATATTTTGAAAATTCACTTGACGAATTTCATAGTTTTTTTTTTTTTTTGCCATTCAATCGTATACCACACAAAATGAATACAAAAGCAGATAGATAGGATAAAGTTTTTTAATGATCTTCATATTTCGATAATCACATTATACTACAGTGTCGACAGTTTGTTTTTAACTTTGTATATTATATAGTGCATGCACTAAGATAATATTTATACATACGTTCAATCCGTCACGTAAGAATCGAAGTTTGGAAGCCTGAAAAAATGTCTGAAACTAAAGGAAAGGTAAGAAAAACTTTTTTTATTTAGTAAAAAAGATCAGAAGTTTTTAACATTGTGTTTTCTTCTGAATTGTATTTTAATAGATATATATATATATATATATATATATATAACAAGTCTAAATTGAAAACAACGTTCTATCCTATGATTGCGTTGGATAAAAACCGCAATTTTTATACGTGTGCATGCAAAACAAATTTCTTGGTAGAGGGGTCTAAATACAGCACAAACAACATTTTCCAAAAGACCAAATGAGTGAAAAAGTATATTTTAACAAAACGCATTTGACTAGCAGGTCGAACAACTGATGTTCTTAAACCCTGCTGACTGCCATTGGCGATTGCCAAATAAACGGATCACCGATGTAATAAATGGATCTCAATTATAAATTGAATACTAAACAGAAAACAATAAACTTGCGGAAAAGATGGCATACCGCAAACAAAAGGTGCAAAGGTTTTTGTACACCATATCCGGATTTCGACAATTAATGTCTCTTCAGTGATGTTAGGAATCGAAACGGTATTTGGAAGGCCATATAATTTACCTCAATTTAGGATAGACTCTTGAATTTTGAAAGAGTCAAAATAGGATGAACGGATCATATAAACCCGAAGGCAAATATAATACAAGCCCAAACGAAAAAATATAACAAGTCTAAATTGAAAACAACGTTCTATCCTATGATTGCGTTGGATAAAAACCGCAATTTTTATACGTGTGCATGCAAAACAAATTTCTTGGTAGAGGGGTCTAAATACAGCACAAACAACATTTTCCAAAAGACCAAATGAGTGAAAAAGTATATATATATATTGTAACAGATGCCTAGTTGGTTCAATATTCAACATTCAAACAAAAAAAAAATCTTATTAAAAAAATTCTTAGACATTTTTTTTTTTCAACATTCGATTTCAACATTTTCTTTATTATCAGCCAAATATGCTGGAACATCATTTTAGAACATCCTTTTTGCACTTTCCCAATTTACATCGATAATACCACTTTGTCAATCGCACTAGAGGCCACATGTCTAGAAGAAGTGAATCTAATAAATTAATAAAGACAATACAACTCACCAACTAAAACTGAAAAAAAGAAGCGAGACCGGGTGCTTCGACAGGGTAAGACTCTCCTGCTCTGAGAATCCAAACTCAGTCAAAACACAGTAAGCAATGTATTGCGGCTTATAGATGGTACATGTAATGGAATTTTTGTTTCAACATATCAGATAAGATGGCAATGCTCCTTGTTAAGTCATCTCACGAGAGTCGAACTTACATCTTTAAAGCAAATAACTATTATAATACAATGTGTTTTTTTATTGTTTTTATGAATAGGTAATTCAGTGCAAAGCTGCTGTTTGCTGGGAGCCCAAAAAGCCCCTTACAATTGAAACAGTGGAGGTTGCGCCACCTAGAGGAGGAGAGGTTCGCGTTAGGGTAGGTTTTCGATGTTTGGTTACAGCAAGGAAAACGAATTTAACTTATTTTAGTCAGGCGTGTAATTGTTTCCTAAGAGTTAATTTTTTCATGATACATTGTAATAGGAATATAGCTTCTTACATTGGTACCAGTGGATTATCGGATTTATCCAATGGAGATAGTTAAAATTGATAATTTAACTATCGAGATTAGATAAATCCGATAATCCACGAGTAACTTTGTAAGAATCTGTTTCTGGAATGATTATCAAATAAGTTTTCATTTTTGATAAACGAAAATCCCCTTCGAGTACCTTCGACATTCCACAAAATTGACAATTTCTCTAACACCTGCTGTTATAGTGCCTAACAAGATTTTGTGAGGTAGACGAAATTGACCTTAAAACGATCGTATGAAAATTTGGTGTCCAAAAATAGGCAGATCGGACAAATTTTGACTTTATTTATCGACTACTTTTGTTTGGGATTAATTGTAATTATAACATTATAACGAGACTGAAAAATGTTTTTTTTTTGTTAAGATAAACCAAAATTTTACTTGGCATAGGCGTGCGTAAAATGTATTTCGGCATTTCTCTTCGAAAAATTACTTGTTTAATGGATTTGTAAATTTCCTCTTTTTCCCGGGAATAGGTTTTTTAGAAACAATTTATCTACTGTATATGTGGAACATTTTGTGAAAATATAAGAATTGGCAATTCTTACCTTTCATACCTTTAGTTTCATTGATAAAAACTAATATGGACTCGTCTAGTGTTCAGTTTGAAGGTCATTAAGTCACTGTACACATTCATGCACGTTCTGATTTAATCAATATACATGTATGAAAAAAATAAACAGTTTGATGGTTAACTAATAATAACTTAAGCCAATCAAATTGCGTAAGATTCAATAACAATGACCTGTCCACATCATAATAAGTAATAGGGGGTAAACTGGGTAGGGAGAAAATGACAGATATTTTAAGTTCATTTTTTGTAATAACGAATAAAAATTTGTCAACCAAAAATTTTGCTATAATTTCAAAATCATGTCGTTCTGTATTGGTATAGTTTTCGGATATTTCATTTGCGTATTTAATGCAATAGAAAGTTTGGGCTTCAGAAGTCTACATAATTATTAACTTATACAGAAAATTCGCCCTTTTAAAACATTTACTGTGTCAAAAATAATTCATGGATGCAAAGTAAAATCATTTCTTAAAACACTGCAAAAAATTTCATTCTGATCGGTATAGTGGTATTGTTGTAAAATGCGTTGAAATGAACCGTGGTATAGCAAACATCGAATTCCCTCACAAAATGTTATCACAAACTATAGCACATTTCGATTAATCCAGTCAGCTGATAAATGTTATGACCCTTAAACTCAGCCAATTATCTTCTGCGATCATCGGCAACCACACGTTAATCAAATTGTTATACAATGGGACCAGAAAGGGTCAACTTGCTGAAGAATTAGAGAAATGGCAATACTAGACATGACTTTCTTGATACATAAGTGATTTTAAATTAATTCAAAATCCAACTGATGAAAATGAATATAGTATAAAACATAAAATTGCGATCGGAAATAGTAACGCTTGTTGATACAAGCTACATTGCAAGCTAATGAACGGAGAAAAAATATAGATGTCAAAATTATACCCTAGATTTTGTCAGTTAAGAACAGCAACCCGACCGTACTCATAACTAAAATCGTCAACATATAGTATTTAACAAAAAACATCTGTCTATAAAATATGTCATGATCTCGATAGTCCCGAGTCTGAAAATGTGAATAATTAAATTAGAATTTATGAAAGATCTGCTATTAATACCAAATCCTCAAAGATAAAAAAAAATGTTAAGATAAGACTTAAGACAACCACTGACCAGGTTCCTGACTTTTGACCTTGAAGTGAATGTGTGGCGAGGTCATGCGTATTGTTTGACGTGTTATATTGAAACCATATCTAACTGCAAGTGCTTATAAAACTAAGTATTTTTTTCATGTCGAGCGTAATATCAGATTAAAACTGGTATTTCCGTTATTTTCTAATAAAATATGTTTTTTTCTTCGTTATTAGGGTTTTTTTTAAAGTTTATGCGATGTATTAATGAATTTGATTTAAAAAGGACATTTGAAAATGAACATCTTTTAAGCGAGACAGTAGATCCTTGTATCAATGACGCTTCTTAGGCTGACAAAAGTACAACAACAAAAACAAATGATTAACATTAATAAAATAGAGAATGGAAACGGGGGAATGCGTCATTACATGCATATAAGATGTAGCCATGTACATGTATGATACTAAACCACTAACGGGAGGGATTGTACTTGATTTTCATATGATGAAGACATAATCTTTCAATCAGTTTAATTGAGGTCTGGAGCTGGCATGTCAGTAACTGCTAGTAGTCCTTTGTTCATTTATGTATCATTGTCATTTTGCTTAGTTTCTTTTGTTACCTATTCTGACATCGGACTCGGACTTCTTTTAAACTGAGTTTTACTGTGCGTATTGCTACATTGTATGTGTTTCTTTATTCTACATTGGCTAGAGGTATAGGGGGAGGGTTGAGATCTCACATGTTTAACCCCACCGCATTTTTGCCCCTGTCCCAAGTCAGGAGCCTCTGGCCTTTGTTAGTCTGGTATGTTTTTTTATTTTAGTTCATTTATATGTTTTGGAGTTTAGTGTGACGTCCATTTTCCCTGAACTAGTACACAATTTTATTTAGGGGCCAGCTGAGGATCACCTCCGGGTGCGGGATTTTCTCGCTGCGTTAAAGACCCATTGGTGGCCTTCTGCTGTTGTCTACTCTTTGGTCGGGTTGTTGTCTCTTTGACATATTCCCCATTTCCATTCTCAATACATCTGTACAGTTTTTTTTTTGTTTTAATAAGAAATAAACTGTATAAAGATTTATATTTTTATCTCAAATTTTCAAAACATTATATAATTATGTGAAGAATTTCAGTCAGTTTTTAGAGTAATGACTCGTACATATATCAAGACTACACATTATAGGTGTTTAACTTAAATTGATTAATTATGGTTTATTTAAGTACTACTGACGAAAACATGCGTATGGTGCATATGGTGCATCGATTTCATATACATGTAAATACACACACACACATATATATATTGGGTTTGGACGTTGATAGTTGGCTGCATACTCGAAAAGTTTCAAATGCAAACAGTTGCTAGTATAGTTGTGACAACGTTTACTCTGTAATATATCAATACGACTTTCGCTTGCACAATGAAATTAGATAGCGAAAACTCAATGCAGTTTTTAAGTAAGTCTCAGAAGGACGTACGGACGGGAAACAATGTTTTATTTAATAAAAACAATAAAAAATTATTCTAGGTGTACAGGAGCCTGTATTTTCACCAAAAAAATCAGAAAACAAACCCAGCTGCGTTAAATTTGTTCGTCGCAGCGTATTTTGAGCAGAAAGAAAGATCTGGTAATAAGTATAGAAGGAACGACCCTGTCTTGTAGTACATTTAAACATAAAGAAGTTTGTAAAAATGACATGTGTTTAGATACCAAGGCCATGACACAATTTCAAATTTGATTTAAGTTATGTAATCTAGGTTTAAACAGTCTAACGATTAAGATATGTACACAATAAAATAAATCATGTCCCTCTGATGGTTACAATACACCATTAGATTTTATGGGCGCAGCCATTTTATGAGCATAACATGGTATTCAGAATTAAGAGTATAGCTAATCCTGATTGGTTGATATGTGCGCCCGTTATTTTTTGTAATTAGAGACTTCGTGCATTCTGCATTATACCAAAGGCCAAATAAATTATTTTCCTTAGCCCTAACGGAACTGAGATGTCTTTTAAACGCTAGGATGAGACACGTATTTTTAAGTGCAAAATTGATAGGCATGGGAGATAAGTACAAATTACGCTAAGAAAAGCAACGCGAACCTATATTTTTTGGACCAAAAAATACTGTCCTAATAACTTTTCTTTAATTCTAGCAAGGTTTCGTTAAAAAAATCAGCTTTCTAAAGTCTGTATCTCGAAAAAGGCTATCATTGTCGCCTATGGGGAAATTAATTGTTTATTATAATCTGATATAGCTGTGTTGCGACCTACATACGACTCAGCATATAATTTAATATATTGATTGGTGTTCGAGAGTAAAATATTTTGGTTCCGAATGATACGTTAATTTAACATATTGTTTTTAGATTCTAGCTTAAATAAAACTTTGGCTTTAAAGAATTTGGTTTCTATAAAATCTCGCAAAGTCTTATTCATTGGAACTTTCGGAGGGAAAAGTACACAAACCAGTTATATTAGGATTTATTAAAGCAAATATGTAATGCCAAAATATACCAAATGAACCGTCGGCTTGTTATTTGACCATATAGTGTAAAATTACACATGCAATTTTACTATAATGTTTTCAAAACATACAGTTGTTGATTTTGAATCCACATAGATTTTCTGTTGCATACTTTTTTTTCGGGGGGGGGGGGGGGGGGGGGGGGGGGGCAAATTGGTACACCTTGTATTACTAATTTTTACTATTACAACTTACTCATTCATTTCAAGGAGTGTCTATGTGTTTATGATACATGATATATCGACGCTTTTCTTTTGCAAAAAGTAACCGTATCCACTAATTCAAATTATACAACCATAATGATATTTTACCAATCACCTGATTCACATTATTTTTCTTTTATATACGTATTAAAGAAACGGGTAGGATTTTGAGTATCTAAGTTCTATGTTAATGGAAAACAACTAGAACCAAATTTGAAAATCATGTATTTTTGCCTTTCATCTCCAAACACTGATCGGACGGATTTTTTAATAACAATAAGTTTTTCTACAGGAAAAAGTGTTTACATCGAAGACATAATCTCTTTTAAATGTATAGATTTGTTAACTTTTAACTATTGCTGTTTCTTGTTTATTTGAAGATTTAAAATGTGTAACATATAGATCAGTTGTGTAAGCTGTCTTTTTTTGCACTATTATCTTTAAAACCAGAGAACACGTAACCGCAATGAACAGACATTACATTACAAATCTTGAATGTTCCAAAATAAGAAAAAATGTATTCATGAAGCTCCGTTAGGAACAAAATAAGACGGAAATCTCTCTTTTTTGTCTTGTCTTTAAATTCCCGATGATGTTTATATTTATTTAAGACAAATTTGATTTTGTTTTAGATTGCGTACACTGGAATATGCCACAGTGATGCTCATATAATAAACGCATGCATATCAGCAAAGTTTCCTGTAATCCTTGGACATGAGGCTGCAGGGATAGTTGAAAGTGTTGGAGATGGAGTGACTAATTTTGAAGAAGGTATATTTTCGAATGTTTATGATAATCTGACTTAATAAAGATTTTTGTAAGACATGAAGCAACTACTTAGGGTATAGATCTAGCCCAAAATTGATTAGTGTTTCGTCACTGCAGACACACATTTCACATTTTTTTCACAAACCATAAACAATCCTTTGACGGCGATTTATATTTTTCAAATGGTGGTTTGAATTTAAGGTTTTTGTGGGTAGTTTTTACAGATAGGTTTGTGAATAGGAGACAATGGGTCATAATTCAATTCGTAATGGTAAGATTCTAATAATCAAACAAACAAATAAAAAAAAAACATCAAAACTAAAGCAATCTAAACACAAAAATGCCCATTAATACGTTCTTGGCCTTTTATTGCAAATTGTATTAAAAACATTAAAAAAAGAAGAATTGAAAATATTTTTTTTCAAACATGAGGATAAATAAATGAGCGCAAAATATTTGTCAGGTATATACTGTTAGTAGCATAGTGTGGTAGTGACCTAATACGATATATATGGGGTCAGTAAATTCCATATAGGGTGAGAGTGAAGCTCAATTATAATGTTTGCCTACCATTCCCTGCTTCCATGAAGAGAGGGGTATGACAAAGGAGTTTCTGTCCTCGGAAGTATCATCGTTCCTTGGCCTTAACTGGACTTTCCTATCTGAAGATGAGATGCTTCTTTGCTACATGCATGTTAAAATGTCTGTGATTCTTTATGTATTATACAAATAAAGATATAGTTAATATATTGAGGATTCTTATATCAGAGACAAAGCCATCAAAGGTTTAAGTGGGAATTCATTTAAGATATGGAATCTAGTTCAATCTAACTTCATGAGACTACATGTATAACCCAACACATAATAAATGATGACTGATGAACAACATTGGTCTCTGACTAAGCTCTAATATATACAATGTAGCTACATGTACATGATATAGCAAATTCAAACTTTCAAGTTTTGGACAAATTAATGACATACAACTAAAGATCTGAAATAAACACAAACCCCATATTGAATTTATTGACCCCATATATATCGTATTACGCCACTAGCACACTGTGTAACGAATTTATCTTACCGACTATCTTAACATGTGGCATTTAGACTAGTGGCCTATCAAAGTGATCAAGTCTTCAATATGAAGAACCTACTTCTATTGGTCTATACAAAAACAAATGCCAACAATAATAATTTGTTAGCTTTTAATGTGTTTTCTGCATGTATTTCAATCGTTCATCATCAATTTCTTTGTTTGTAGAAACGTTTCAGCTTTTTCATCAACGCCGTATTGTTTTTATAAAGGGACGTAACACCACTACTAACCGTGTATTAGAATAAGCCCCGCTTACTAACCCCATATAAAATATAAACGGTCTCCACGCGGTCGCTTTTAACCAATGATATTCCTAGAAATGTATAGGAGGTAAGATAAAAGATGTTACAAATTCAATCAATCTCACTATTAACTCTTGTAATACTGCGCTTGTTCATTGTATACATATGCCAATCTTAATTAAAACGCTCGAGTAAACATACAAATAATGTTTGCAAGCAAATTAATCAAACTTTCGGTTAACATGTAATTGTATAACAGCTCTAACAGACGCATATAATTGTTAGCCTAAGCTAACAGTATTGCATCCTACATAATAAAATTGCGATCTGTATACTTTGCAAAAATTCAGTGAAGTAACTTTTTTATTATTATTATTATTTTGAGGACTCTCAGGAAGATTAGTTTTAACTAATGGGATTATCCTCTTGAAATAAAGATTATTTATTTATTTATTTATTTTATTTATTTATGAGGGAGAATACAGTAGAAACATTTTATTAATAAATCCGGTAACCTTGTCGCTAAAAATTCTCTGGTATTAAAGTTATATAATTAATGCAATGATTCACGAGAACAACTTTTATCTCCTCTGCAAAGTTCTCGATTCAACTTAATTCAGATCTATATGTTAGATTGTAAGTTTTAGTCTGTTGGACAATTTTTTCGATTAATGTATATGTACATATCCGATTCTTCAATTCAGGGTTTTTTTTCAGGTGATCATGTCATGGCAATGTTCCTGCCAGAATGTAATCAGTGTAGGTGTTGCACAAGTGGAAAGACTGGATGTTGTGAAGTATTCATGGAGTAAGATATAGTTACATGATCTCTGAGTTACAAACTCATTATTGTTGTAACTCATTATTGTTGAAACAAATATGTTGTTTTATATTATACCATACCAATTTCTGTACATAAATAAAAAACTAAATGTATAGCAACATTGTATCATGTTTTAATCTTAGTTGCTTTTTGTATACCCCGGAAACATATTATATTTACGTATGACTTGTTTTTATGATACAAAAAAGCAAAAACAAAAGACACCATTTAACCTCGACATGACTTATGTAAATGGACTAACTTTGCAGCAAACAAACATTTTGTATGTTGATTCTTCGAACATTAATGAATAAAGTTATCATTAAAAAAAACAAAGATTTGAATTTTAGCATCGTCTTATTTGCACCAATTTTCATTTGTAGCAAAAACTATGCCAATGGTTTATTGATGGATGGGACATCTCGATTCAGCATCAAAGGGAAGACAGTATACCACTTCTTTGATACCAGTACCTTTAGTCAATATACTGTTGTACCAGCTATCTCGCTCGTAAAGGTATGCATGGTTTGAGAACATTTATTATAGATTATTTGTAATATGTTCAAACGATGGCTATGGTTCAATAAGAGTAAGGTGGCTTGGAGCTTGTAGAAATGGGACAATTTTCCCTATTCCTGAATGTGATGTCGAGGTAGGACCTAAATCTGTCTTTGTTCCTATCCTTTCATTATCTAAACCATTGAGAAGCGTGTGAAAAACACGACAATCGCTGTCAACGCATTTGACTAAGTTATTCCTCCTTCATTTGTTACGGCATCTGATATTCATAAACGTATCTTTGGGCAATTAAAAAACAGCTTTTCTTTTTTTTTTTTTTTTTTTATTGAAGATTGAATTGAAGATTTCATTTTATCAAAAATTGTTTGATAATATATCTAGATTGAACACTATTATAAAAGTAATGTATTTTTTTCTAATTATTTCACTTTTTGGGCATGTTCCTGTACAATTTCTAAACAAGTATGCCAATTTCTTCAAGATGGTCTTATAAAAATCTTTTTAATCCAAGGAATTTATGTACAGATATGATTAAGAGAGAAATGACACAGTTACAGGCAGGATGGCATAAATAGAAATGCATGATTTTATATACACTCTTCGAAATGTATACCAGATAAGCGGCTATAGTATCATTTTGGATTCTGTTGTATGTTTTTGTAGATTAACCCAGCTGCTCCAATGGAAAAAGTCTGTATACTAAGTTGTGGAATTGCTACAGGATATGGCACTGCTGTCAATACAGCACCGGTAACCATTTTATTAGATACATGATGTACATTTATCAGCAAAATATAAGTAGAAATCAAAGTGTTATTTGAAATAAAGCGTATGAATGTCTGAGTTCTTAAGCAAGATCAAAAATATAAATAGTGCAGCATTTTTACTTTTTTTTTTTCTTTTCGTCAAATGAAACTTCAGATGTAATTTTCATTATATTTACACAAATATATTTTAATAGAAGCATCGGTAATGTAAAAACATCTTTGAAATATTTGATTTTACGATCATTTAGATTTCTTTGAGAAATTACTTTATTAAAAGCAACTAAATGATTGTCTGTTTATTAAAGGTGACACCTGGCTCTGTCTGTGCTGTATGGGGATGTGGCTGCATAGGTCTAGCTTGTATAATGGGATGTAAAGCAGCCGGGGCCGCACGTATCATAGGGATAGATATTAACCCAGAAAAGATTAAAAATGGTTGAGTATTACTAAAACAATAACTTTTATTTTTTATGAAACAAGACTTGCTTTCTGTTCGTGTGAAAGCAAACTGGGTTCACTTAAAACTAAAATTCCCATCATTTTATGTAATATTTTTTATTCTGTTTCCTTAATCCGTGATATCCTATGCCTTAATGTACATAAATATGTTTTGACTGACATATACATTTTTATAATACAAATGACTCTCTGTTGAATCTTCTAATACTAAGTTTCAAATACCTTTTTTACGCTGTAAATGTTAACTCTTATCCTGCAGCTAAAAAGTTTGGAATAACAGAAGGAGTAAATCCTTTGGACTACGACAAACCAATAAATGAAGTTCTTAAAGAAATGACCAATGGAGGTCTTGACTTTACTTTTGAATGTGTTGGAACCACTAAAACAATGGTATGTAGTTGTAAGATCAGCCGTGTTTTGTGTGTGGCGTAACTAGTATGTCGGGGCAATGAAGAATGAGTAAAATAAATGGTATCACGTACAACATTCATTTATACTAAGGGACTTGTATAAAAAGAATTAAGACCATTAAATGGTTCTTTTTTTGTAGTTTACGGTTGATCAAAATAGAGTTAGATTAATGAATAGCTCAAATAAAGACAGCAAATGTAGAGTGTGTCACTATTATGTTTTAAAATAAAGGCCTGCTCCCTGATGGGCGTTGAGCCAAGAGAAAGTACTCAGAGGACTTGAAATAACTATTGTTACGTATTAATTTTTAAAATTTCAAATGTTTAAGAATTTTCCTTTGTTTGTAATTAGAATCATGATACTCGATTTTTTAATACTGCCATATTTTTTTCTTAGGAACAGGCATTTATGTCATTACACAAAGGATGGGGTAAACTGTGCGTTGTTGGATTAGCTCCAGACGGTGATACTATAAAAGTGCCACCATTTGAACTATTGTACGGTAGGAGCATTACTGGGTCACTTTATGGAGGTAAGGTTTCTATAATTTCACATTGTATTTTGAACCAATTTGTACGTTGCGATTCATACACAGACATCATCGTAAGAACGGAACAGTTAAATCGTAAATCTTTTATGAGAATAGCATATGTTAAAGATCCCATACAATACATTATGTCAATAGTCGAAATTTTTACTCTTTCATAGAAGATGACTCCCTTTGCAGGACCTACCTAAAAGAACTTTTTTTTTTAAATATTATCGTATGAATATGCTTGTTTTGAATTTTACCTTGAAGAAAAAGAAAACGGTAAAAAAACATTGCAGTGTACGCATACATACATATTATCAATCTATTCCAATATTTAGTTTTTTTCTATGCTATACAAATGATAATGCATAATCCTTGACTGACGTAACATTAGGGAATTAATATTTTTATATATTCATAGATTTCCGACGAGCCAAGCATGTGCCTGAACTCGTCAACTTGTATATGAGAGGAGAGATTATGCTTGACGAGTTTATTACTCATACCATGCCTTTAGATAGGATTAATGAGGCTTTCGACCTCATGAGAGACGGGAAAAGGTAAATTGTAACTAAAAACAAATATTCATTATAATTACATTGACTATAGACTCAGGAGAAATAAAAACACTTCGCTTTAACTGATGTTTTAAAGTTAATAGTTTGAGTTGTAGAAGTCAAGCGAGATGTAAATATTTGTTTTAATTTTAAGATTTGAAAAAGTATATTCTGTCATCCAGGAGTATTTTATAGCTCATTATGAGGTGATGGTTTTTGCTCATTGTTGAAGGCCATATTATTGTTCACTTCCTTGTCTTTTGGTCTTTGACGAACAGTTGTTTTATTGACAATGATACCACATCTCAATATTTCAAACATGTAGCAACCCTCCAAATGAAATAATTAAAACACTTATAAAATAAAAATATATAAACTATAAATTTCCTGCGCCCGAAGCGCTCTTGGATTTACCTTTATCAGGAACGCTAAAACCTTATCAGTTGAAAGACAGGTATACGTAAAGACCTGAAACATTAGGAGCTATATGACCAAAAAGAACATAAACAGAATAGGCAAATTCATCTAAAGTCAACTTTTCCTGAAAGAGTTGGAACTTTAGTTTCTAAATGATTCGTTATCACCATTTCAAATAAGTATATATTATAAATCATGCCAGTACTGAAGCTTTGGCTACTAAGCTGATACCCTCGGGGGTTTACCTGTCCACCAGCAGCAGTTTCAACACAGTGCTAGTAAATGAAATGCCATCCATTCAGATGAAACGGCAAAACATTTTGAGCAGTTTTAAATACAGAGTACTGTGGATTCATTTATTTTCGTGGGTACCAATTTTCGTGGATTAGGGAAAACTTGCATGTTCGTGGATATTTGATTTCGTGGTTTTGCTGAAGTCTGCATACAAGCCTATAGAAAATTTGTCATTCGTTGAACATTTAATTTCGTGGTTCACCTGTACCCACGAAATCCACGAAAATTGGTATCCAACGAATATTAATGAATCCACAGTATACGACAATTTAGAGTACACTTATATGAGTTCAAAGGAAGTATTTCGGACGATTATTTGCTACAAATAGTGTTAAATAAGTGTAAACACTACGAACACGTGACAGTTGTTTTGACTTAGTTAGCTTAAGATGACAAATTATATATACAAATGGTTAACTTCCTTTTTCCTTTCTTGTCAATAACTATATTATATTAATATGTTAAATCCATTTCGGCTTAAAAAAGAATTGTTATTCTATTGTTACATTTAAGTCGTTTTTAACCGACTAATTCTGTTTTTGTGTGTGTTTTTGGTGGGTTATTGTTTATCATTGTTCGTTTTCTTTAAGTCATACTTTTATCCAATTAAAATTAAAAAAAAATGTGACTGATCTTTTATGCAAAATACAGTATACAAAAATATATAAATAAGTTACTTTTGTCCAATGCCGATTTACAATTATCTTAATATGTTTGTTCATGTATTTTCAGTTTGAGGTCTGTAGTGTCAATGTAGAAGTGCTTACAGACAAGGATCATAAGACATTAGACTTTTAGTTACAGAGTAGTTATTTGTATTTTGTATTATATATGTGGAAGTTATAAAATGATTTCGTTTCTATGATAACATGTATTGGTTTCGAAATATAAATAGCCAGATAAATTTCACCTTCAAATTTAATTCATGATGTGTAAGGCTGACTTTGAATTAATTTACACAGAACATAGATGTAACATTTGATAGATCTACAAAAGAGGGAATATGACAAGAGGCATTATCTGACTCCTGAAATTAAAAAAAAAGTAAAATTATTCAAGCCTTTTGAGATTATACTTTTATTGATAAATCAACATGTAAATGCAATCTGGACATTTTAGTGCAGAACATTAAAGACTGATGGAGCTATGGTGTCGAAACATGTCCAAATTTATATATTTGACCAAACTTTTACACATGGTTTTTGGAATAAATAAATATAAGCCAATGCATTAATTCAAACATATACTTTACGAACTTTCAAAAATATGATTTTGGATAAAGCCCTTGCTTATATCTAAATATTAATTTACGATATCAAAATCAGGCCATTTTAGCAGTTCTTGTAGTTATGCACTCAAAAAATTCAGAGGATTGTGCAAGTATGTCAGACAAAATTCATAGCCATTAAAAATATTGATATCTGAAGGACTAATTTCTTATGAACATCTGAACAATGTAATTTGGTAGATTTATAAGTTTTTTTTTATATATTAAATTCATGAGGCCAAAGACTTGACCTTATCATACCTAAACTTTTCAGCCAAAACGGTGAATCAACTTATTCCTTTTAATTTTATTTATAGAAATAGGTACAAATATATGTTTTGATCAATATTTTAGACAAACAATGTATATGAAGAGTTAATAGCAGTTGTTAGCTTAGAAATAAAAACAATACAATTTTATAACTCTCATTTATCTGTGGAACATGCGCACCCTTTCATATGTAAATGGTCAAACCAACCAAATGCCGTATGTTGGTTGAATCGTAAGCACTGAAATTGGTATCTCTTATGTCTTTTTCTATAACAACTGGTTATGAGTTGGTCATTTTTAGTGGACTAGTGTACTGTTATTCCAAACAGGTGTCGTGTTTGCTGTAAAAGAGGTACCATAACTTGAAATCACATTTTATAGATATGTGTTTATATATCATGCTCAGGTGATTGAATTTTACAGAACTATTATTGAAATAAATCATGTATACGTTGTCGATCACTTTTACGAATAAATGAATATACAACGACCTAATGTAGGGCAATGAAATATATGACGTATGGTCTATCGGGAACATTTGTTGCAACTAAATGTGTATGTATAAGTTCTGCTTCCTTTATTATATTTAGACGAACATTTGCTTGACGTTATTACGAGTAACATTACGGTATATTTAAATTAAAATGAACTATACCGGTGAATCATCTGCAAACCACTTCTAAGTTGGCCTAGTGGTCAAACACAGTGGGCACATTACAAACAGTTTTGCCTTTAATGTCTCAACAGCGCGGGGTCTAATCCTGCTGTTTAACTTGATAGATTTGGAAGTGCCCCAAATGCAGTTCTAACATCGTTGAACTGAATTAAGTCGATGAAATGTCTACATATATACAATAGTGACACATATTTTGCAATTTTGCAATCCGATGTCTGGCATCTCATTTACTTCGCAGTACTTCAAATGATAAAAGGAAATTTTACAGAGAGAGAGAGAGAGAGAGAGAGAGAAAGAGAGAGAGAGAGAGAGAGAGATAGAGATTAGTTTTAATATCTACATGTATTCATTTTTATTTTTTGGTGGTTTACTTTTAAACATGATAAGGTAAAACGAAGCATGTCATCATAGAATAGCAGAGCAATGTTATTAATCCATCAAATAGAATTTATTTTTATCAATTTACGACTGGATGTTGAGAGTCTTACAATCATTCAAACAAAATTAACTAATAGTATCATTCAATTATTTGTACGTTTTTTGGATATGTAAATGAATATGTTCCATTGTGAACAAAATGCATGAGGCACTGAGTTGTTTGGTTGTGTTTAACAAATTGATTGTGGAGTTTGCTACTGTTAGATATGTGTATTTGTTTTTTTGTTTGTTTGCACATGTTATATCAGCATATTTGATAGTACTGACTTCTTATTTCATGTAAAACATTCGGTCAGTAGTCCAATTTGTATGTGTGTGTATCTTTATAACGCTTTTGTTAATGTCACAAAAAAATAAAAACTAAACTTGTCGAGGCTCGGGCGACTTAGAATTGGTTATATGGCTTTGGATATTTGCTTATCTGTAATTCATTGTCCTCATTCGTTTATCTTATGTTGACCATTTGATGTGTATGGTAAATCTATTCTATTTATTGTAATGAATTAAAGGAGTGTACATCAACATGAAAGCAAGCAAACGACACAAAAATAAAGAACTTTATAGGCCAACATACGGTATTTAATAATACAATATCTCAAGGTCTAAAACACCAGTATCTACAATAATAGTAAATCAATTTAAAAGAGAATATGGAAGGTCTTTCATCAACAACAAAATCCTTATGTGACAAAACCATTACGATATAACTAAAGAAAACCACTAATCTGGTTCCTAATATTTGACAAGTACGTGAATCGGGGGTTTAGTCAGAGGCAACCTTAGTTTACAGATTTTCAAAACTTAAATTATTTGTAAAATACCCACCATGAGAAAACCCTTAATGAATCTCATTAACCTCAAAAAGAAGCAACTCAGACCTAGTGATCGGAAAGGTAAGGGTTTCCTGCTTCTGCATCGTTACACATCATGTGATTCAAAACTAATATAAAAATTCAAAGATTTGGAATACTAGTAATACACCATCGGTTAATCTCTGATGATCGGTTAACTTTCTGGCTTATATACGATTTACTTATTCATAAAGAACTGAATGTTCAGCAATATAAAAGTTTACTTGACTTATTTCGTAGATCGGTCCTAAACGTGATTTGATTGTACTATAAATGCTGTAGAATATGTATGTTAACTAAAACGAAACAATAAAAAATACATTATTGTAATTATGTGGTCTCAGCCCTACTATTTCACACCCGTACCTTCTACATTGGTATTTTACCGTTGGTAAGATGCGCATTGAAAGACTATAATGACAACATTTTTTTGTGACTATGGCCTTCTTACGATATGTATACAAAGGAGAAGACAACAAAAACTCTGTGAATTGTATTGCATATTTCTGATCTTAAATTGTTATGCTGAAAATGTATTGAACTGATGACTAGACTCAAGCTAGCGACCAATTCCAGCGACCAATCAAGCTAGCGACCAATTCTATCGACCACTAAACTTAACAATGAGCATCAACACGTTAGAGAATCATTCAGAGATATGTCTGAAAATCAAAAATTGACATTATGCTACAACGTTCTACTAATAAGAAATACGTAATATATCGCTTTTAAATGTTTAATGGACCACATATGTCTACATTTGCAATAAATAGGGGACGGAATAATAAATACATATCCTTTTTAGAAAGGAAAAAGTAATTAATTTTGTTTAAGTTTTACTTTGGATTTCAATCTTTCTAACAATTAACGTGAGTAGCGTGCTTGCTCAAGGTATATGCTCTAAATCAGTAATTCAGTATTTGAAGATTTTATATTACATGGCATTATACATTTATATAAAATCGAGATCTTCGTTCCTTGCAAAAAATGAATGAAAAAAAAAAAAACAATAAAAAAAACAAAACAAGTTAAAAAAAACAAAAGTATCTGGAATGTTATTTGTTTGCGATACTTTAAACTAAGATTTTTAACGTGTAACAATAACTACATATAGTATAGATGAATTAATAAAAGGCAATCTTAGTACATAACGGCTAAACCAAGTCTCAAGATTCAGAGCTGTATTAAGTATTGTAGAACAGAATAAAACAATCTTAGTACATTAGTGCAGATGTCAATTTACGGTGAGAAAAATAAAAAGTTAAACTGAACAAGAAAGACGCTATATGCGGTAGAAAAATCATATAACGGCTTTCTATACTCTCGGCATCCTCAAATGTCGTGTATTTCCTTAAAATCCCGTTAGGTAAAGAATTACTATATCGGCCTGGTCAAAAAGAACATACAAGAAAGTAGTACATATTTCAAACAAAATAGTTCCTACGCATATAGTCAAAACTTTGTCAATAAGTGAAATATTTGGTTTATTTTGGTATAAATGAAAGTTTAATCACTTGGGATCACCATAGGACCCTTGTTGAAAGTCTCTTTTGAATGATAAGAAAAAAGAAATTATAAAGCAGGGAATATTTGCCCTGTTGCTCAGATTTTGCTCAGTACCTGTTTGTGTACTTCCAAATTTCCGGGAACCAGTCAACACATATAGGTACTGTTATGCTGATTTTTTTCCAGGAGAAGTAATGATAATGTATATTTTGCCATTGAATTACTGTCATATAATTTGAAGTAAGGACAATGGTTATTACTTTTACCATACTTGGTAAAAGGGCCGGACGGGGTTGCACTTTCCCACCCGGGTATTTCCATGAATAAAAGGGCCTGGGACAAGCTTTTAATCCCACTAGGTGTGGGTAAAAACTTTGCCGTAGGGAACTGTACACAAAGACTGAAAAATGTGCCCATACCCATAATTGATAGGTAACTCAGACTTTGGGTGGCTAGTGAAGTCTTCAGGTGCACTTTCCCACCCAGGTATTCATATGAGTTGAAGATATGGATAATAGCTTTCAAACTAACCACCTGTGGTCAAGAATTTTGCCGTAGGGAAACGGGAGGATAGCAATTCCTGCCACCACCCCTGTGCTGAAAAATAAAAAATTTGGTATGTTGTTGTGAGCTTGCGGTGCACTTTCCCACCCGGGCATTTCCATGAATAAAAGGGCCTGGGATAAGCTTTCAATCCCACTAGGTGTGGGTAAAAACTTTGCCGTAGGGAACTGTACACAAAGACTGAAAAATGTGCCCATACCCATAATTGATAGGTAACTCAGACTTTGGGTGGCCAGTGAAGTCTTCAGGTGCACTTTCCCACCCAGGTATTCATATGAGTTGAAGATATGGATAATAGCTTTCAAACTAACCATCTGTGGTCAAGAACTTTGCAGTAGGGAAACGGGAGGATAGCGATTCCTGCCACCACCCTTGTGCTGAAAAATGAAAAAATTGGTATGTTGTTGTGAGCTTCCGTTGCCTTTTCCCACCCGGGCATTTCCATGAATAAAAGGGCCTGGGACAAGCTTTTAATCCCACTAGGTGTGGGTAAAAACTTTGCCGTAGGGAACTGTACACAAAGACTGAAAAATGTGCCCATACCCATAATTGATAGGTAACTCAGACTTTGGGTGGCTAGTGAAGTCTTCAGGTGCACTTTCCCACCCAGGTATTCATATGAGTTGAAGATATGGATAATAGCTTTCAAACTAACCATCTGTGGTCAAGAACTTTGCCGTAGGGAAACGGGAGGATAGCGATTCCTGCCACCACCCCTGTGCTGAAAAATGAAAAATATGGTATGTTGTTGTGAGCTTCCGGTGCCTTTTCCCACCCGGGCATTTCCATGAATAAAAGGGCCTGGGGCAAGCTTTCAATCCCACTAGGTGTGGGTTAAAACTTTGCCGTAGGGAACTGTACACAAAGACTGAAAAATGTGCCCATACCCATAATTGATAGGTAACTCAGACTTTGGGTGGCTAGTGAAGTCTTCAGGTGCACTTTCCCACCCAGGTATTCATATGAGTTGAAGATATGGATAATTGCTTTCAAACTAACCACCTGTGGTTAAGAACTTTGCCGTAGGGAAACGCGAGGATAGCGATTCCTGCCACCACCCCTGTGCTGAAAAATGAAAAATTTGGTATGTTGTTGTGAGCTTGCGGTGCAC